GTTCTTTTTACTCTTCTTTTGCAATGAAATCAATCAGTAAAAGCATAAAAAAAACTAGACCTCTACTCGGCTCAAGGCCGGCTAGCAAAGTCGACTGACTGCAGAGTTCGAAAAATATCAAAGCCTGGTCCTATACGACATGTACCATTTCTAAACCCAAGACTTGTGTGGAAGAAAGCATAATGAATCTGAATCGTAGATTTCCATATAAGGAAACTCTCAGCTGTTCATTATCGTTCATCGTCTCATCTGTATAAACCATGAAGAGATTTTTTTTAAACATTTGAGACTCTTTCATGGATGAATTTCAGTTATGCAAGATGATAATTAAAGTATATATGCACATAAGATCTGAGATAAGAATGGTGTTTTAAGACTGAGTCATGTATAACCACATAAAGAAACTAACAGCTGTTAATTATCATTTTTGGCATTATTTACATCGCCCGAACGCTGCCGAATTTCGAAAAACGGATTTCAGATGTGCGCTCGTCACATTCTCTGGATCTCGTCAAGCTTTTTTCCGACTAAAAATGATACTCGGGAGCTGGGAACGAGTGACTGACTTGAATCGTGACTCATGTATTGAGTAGAAGAAAAAGAAGAATTTTCCATGGCAACTAAGCAAGTGAAAAGCAATAAGTCGGTCACTGCACTTCGTGCAGACCGCCGACTTAATCATATTTTGATATTTACTTTTCTTTTTCTTAGTTTCTTTTTTAACTAAACCAATCAAATACACAAGTTAGTACTTCTTACTATATGATTTCTCATTGATCATATAGATGACACCATCTGATTATTAGATTAGAACCACAAACAGAATTATTTTTAATTTATGGCGTAATTATTTGGCAACAAGTAGAATAATGTTTATTCTTAATCTTTGTTTCTTTGAATTCTAATAATTGTCTAATTAAGCTCGTTTTTACTATTTCTTCGTCATTTAGTACATGAATAATAAGTACAATTCATTGTATGTGTTTGGATTATTTTCTCCTGATTATGATCATTCGATGTTGTATACATGCATATAAACAATATCGACTGCTTTTACTAGAAAGATTTGCAATTAGTATCTATTAATAAAAACAACTAGCACAATTACAGATTAAGAAAAAACTATTACGATCCTCATAGTTTGCTTCGCTTACACAAAATACGTTTGGATGATACTATGAAAATAATATACTACGGATGAGATAGAAAAGAATCGATCTTAATAGGATGCAGAACGATGATAATAACTATTGATTTATTCAGAAATTAAAAGTAACTAATAGTGGTCAATATTTATCAATTCGATAGCGATATGAAAGCTTTTTTAGTATAATCTAAATATAATCTTTATAGAACGAGATCGAACAAGAGTTACATAAGAACTTGTTTTCTCTAGATCAGAATAAAATTCAATTAGTTTGGCAGAGATATAGCAGAATTGTGAAATTTGATTCATTATTTTCATTTTTCTTCACGTAAGAAATTATACTCTTCTTCTTACAATGTGTTTATTTCAAGCTAGGGGGAACAACGAAGGAAATTCATTATTTCAATTCCCGCTGACTCAAATTAATAAAGTTCGAGAGGAAATTGTAAGCAAAAATGATGTTTTTTTTTTAATAACCGGCGATGACATGAGTCACAAAAATTATCCTGTTGCACATAATTATGAATTACTAATTAGGGAGACATATTCATATTATCGGATACTTTTTCTCTGTTAAATTATTATCATTTTACACTGTAAATTCAAAATATCTTCTTTGATTTTTTTTTGAAAGGAAAGGCTAACAATGTTCTCCTTGAGAAACAGCATCGATGAAACCTGCTATGTCATGACTACAAACTTTCTTCTTTTTGCCAAGACGATTTATTATTTTTGTTTCATACCTTATCAGAAATAAATATTTTAAAAGCCAAATACAATGAGACCAATTTTTCAATATTCATTTTTTTTGTAGAAAAATATTACGTTTACTCTTATCACAGAAAGAATCCAAAATGAGTGGCAACTGAATCAGATCACATGTTTCATTGATATATATATATATATACGACATATCTTCTTTAGCTAGTTTTTATTGTAACTAAAAAAAAACGTAAAACATTAAAAATGATTGATCTATTCTTATATTTGTACCATGACTTATTGGATTACTATATCAGATACATATATTTTTCACGCTTCATGGTTACATCTTTTGTTGTTTTATGTCGTTATAAATTTATATCAATGACATCATCAAAGGTGTGTACTGATAATAGTACATAACAGACTCAAAGTGCATTTATATATAAATAGAAACATGCTTTGGACCTTTCTCTTTAAGGACAACAAATAAATAATGAAAAATATAAATATAAGTATATTGATATTAGTCATTAGTATAATTGTTTATTTATTTATTGAACATATCAATCGTCGAACATATGAATTACTCAATGATATTGAACGTCGTGGAAATCGTTCGGTCAATGAAATCGAAAAACGATCACGTCAACTCATAAATTCCACAATAACCGAATTCAATAATCAAATTACTGAACAAATCAATTTGGTGATTGAAAAAAGTCGAAAATACATTCCTTTACAAAATCCATATGGTGCTACAACTTGTACAGAATGGTTTGGATGTCATAAGGGTTATTGTTGGGCAGGATGTGCTGGTGCTTTTCCATCTTTAACTGGTCCTGAATGGTGTTATACAACAAAATCAAAAGGAAAAATCGCTTGTTCTCAAGATAAAGATTGTAATGGATGTTGGCGATGCTCTAGTCCATGTAGTATTTAATTAACAAACGTTTTTTTTCAATACTTGTATTCAAATGTACACATACATAAAAAAAAATTTCTACGATTCAGTGATCTGCAACTTTGATGATCTTGAATTATTTTCATATTGAATTTTTTCTTTTCTTTTCACCTAGATATTTTTAAAAAAGTGCACAAATTGTTTTTGTTCTTGAAAAACATTATTGACACAATTTAATCATGCACAATAAGTGTACATCTAAATTTATTTGAAGAAAAAGAAAAAGTACGATTCTTTTTATTTCATCTTACAGGTGAATGAAAATAATTATATAAACTAGAAATATAAGGCAATGTATTAAAAAAAAAGATCTCTCTGCTAAGTTAAGGGTTGAATTGAAAGAGAAAATTGAATAAGATAAGACTAATTGTCTATATGTTCGTAAACAATTAAAGCATTTTTCAAGTTTATTTTCCATGATCTTTCTTGGCAATATATCTAATAAGATCAACAACACGATTTGAATAACCATATTCATTGTCATACCTAAACATAAAAAAGATTGTATTTCATATAGAAAAATAAAATCTTACCAAGCAACAAGTTTGACAAAATTGTCATTGAGCGAAATACCGGCTTTAGCATCAAAAATTGATGAATGTGTATCACCAATGAAATCAGTTGAAACAACTTCATCATCAGTATAAGCCAAAATACCTTTCAATGGCCCATGAGCAGCTTCTTTAATTGCAGCACAGATTTCTTCATACTTAGCCTAAACAATACATTTTATGTAATGAATCAATTGAAAATAAAAATATAACTTACGCCTTTGGTTAATCGAGCCGTGAGATCAACCACTGAGACATTGGCTGTTGGAACACGGAAAGCCATACCAGTTAATTTTCCATTTAAGTCTGGAATTACTTTTCCAACCTAATTAGACAAAGAAAAAAATACATTTTTTATGTCTACTAAAAACAAACAAGAAACATACAGCTTTAGCAGCACCAGTTGATGATGGAATTATATTTTGTGCGGCTCCACGTCCACCACGCCAATCCTATCAAAATAAAATAGATATAAATATAATTTATTTTTGTCTTGTTGAATTTCATACTTTATTTGATGGTCCATCAACTGTTTTTTGTGTAGCTGTGTAGGAATGTACAGTTGTCATTAAAGCTTCAAGAATACCAAATTTTTCATGGACAACTTTAGCAAGCGGTGCTAAACAATTTGTTGTGCATGATGCATTTGATAGAACTGTTTCTTTGCCAGTATATTTGTCTTCATTGACTCCCATAACAAACATCGGAGCATCAGCTGATGGTGCTGTAATTATAACTTTTTTAGCACCGGCTTGTAAATGTGGTTGACATTTATCAATGGTTGTAAATACACCAGTTGATTCAACAACATATTCGGCACCTTTAAACAAAATAGAAAGAAATAAAATCAATCAATCACTTATCATACAAGGTCAAGTGGAAATGTGTACCTATTTGACCCCATGGAATCTTTGATGGTTCTTTTCTAAAAATAAAAATATATAAAACATTAAAATTCGTTTACTTCAAATATTTACTCAGTATAAACATTGATTTCTTTTCCATTAACAATAAGTTTGTTCTCTTTATGTGAAACTTCACCTTTAAAACGTCCATGTGTTGAATCATATTTAAACATATATACCATATAGTCAGCAGGAATAAATGGATCTACAAAGTCATATTTTAATAGACATATCAACAAAAAAAAATCTAACACTAACCATTAATACCAACTACATCAACACCTTGTTCAAGTGCACATCGGAATACAAGTCGACCAATACGACCGAATCCATTTATACCAACTTTAACGTCTGATGAAGACATATTTACCAATAAAAAAATTACAAGTTTGGCCTATTTTATGATAGAAGAAAAAAAAAAGCAAGAGAAAGAAAAATGACTAGGGGAACACACTTATAAAGACTGGCGACCGCCACAATTATTTTTCTATTCGACGCAAACGAGACAGAATTTCGATAATGTTTATAGCGACCTCTCTTCAGGCATTATTGTATATATATTTTTCTACTGTTAGACTTTAAGGAATTATTTTATGAAGAATCCATATTAAAAATGAAAATTAAACTTGTTTTAATAAATTAATATTCATAATGGTTATGTATTTGAACCATTAATTGATGTTGAATGATTCATTGGTTATTCTAAATGAATTATATTTTTTCACTAAAAAATGTTTAATTTTCGAAGAATATCATTGTTTCATCGTTCAATATCTATTAAAATTAATGCTTGTCGTTTTCGATCAGCTCGTCGTTCGTCTAAATCATTAATAAATGATCAAAAGCATATTGTTACTGAAACAAAACCTGTTTCATTAGATAATCTCTCACCTGTAGTTCGTCAAATTCTTTCTAAAGATCCATCATATGCTGTTCGTTTTGGTGGTCAATTATCTGAAAATAAAAAATATCTTGTTCGACAACATTCACGAACAACAGGTCGAGCAGAAAATCTTCTTTTACAAATACCGAAAGATGATATTATTTTGTCAATTAATGAAGATGAAAATGATTTACCTCATCCACCTATTGTTGCTTTTCCATCTACAGAAAATCAATTTCAAATGGATTTAGGAACAGAAGATAAAACAGTACCTATTCATGAAACAGCTTGTTGTTTTGGTTGTGGAGCATCACTTCAATGTGCTGATAGGACTAAACCGTAAGAGATTATTTTTAATAGAATTATCTATATTTAAAATATATTCAAGAGGTTTTGTACCAGTTGAAATCTATAAACATTATCTATTAACATATTTACAAAAACGAACAAGTCAATGTCAACGATGTTTTCTTTTTAAATATACAAATGAAATATCACATTGTGAAGTTAATGAACAAATTTATAAAGATATTTTAATAGAAATTAAACGAAAACGTGCTTTAATTATTTTAATTGTCGATCTTCTTGATATACCAAATTCCATTAGTCGATTATGGACAAATCTTGTTGATGAAACAGCAAAAAATCATCATACTTCATCCAATATTATATTTGTTCTTGGCAATAAAGTTGATCTATTACCCAAAGGCAGGTTTGTTTTAAATAGAAAATAGTTTATTATTACATAAACCAACTCTACAAAACTTTTTACATATATAAAAAATTGAATAGATCAGAATATGAACTTCGAATTATGTTGACTTGACTGTTAATGATTACGAGAAATTACCGAATAATTCACAGCTTAAGTTCACTTTCGGTCAGAAATTTGTTGATGCAATCTCTCTTAAACTCACGAATTTGAATTTTTAAGAAGAGTAGTTCAAGTAAAAACTTGTAATCAAAAACTAATAAACCCCGTTACACGTCAGTAAAAATTAAAGATTCAGCTCTAATAGTTAAAAAATGAATTTCCCTTTTTTTTTATTCGACAAAAACTGTTATAAGTTTCTTTATAACAAAAGTTAGTTTTGAATTTTCCATGTATAGGAGTAGTTAAATTTGTGAGCATTATATGTACTTTAAAAAAGACATTTTGATTAACTTCATGTTGAGAAGTTTTCTTTGAAGCACTAATATTTTTCATAAATATTTTCGTTCAAATAAAATACATAGAATCTACAAAAAATATCTTTCATAAGTCTTTACTGTGTCCATTATTTCTTTTAAATAAAGATGCAGATATCGATTGATTCAAAAACTATTTTATGACGAAAAAACTTAAATATATCTGCCACGATTTGTATCGTTAACTTCAATGTCATGTGTCACAAACCTTTGATTATTTGGCATATGGATTCATAATGAACTAGTAGTGATTGAGAAAATGTTTTTTCTTTTTCAATACTTATTAAAGATTCGATGCGAAATGTATCTAAAATGAATAGTAAATTTATTTTAGATAGTGAATCATATTTATCTAATGTTCGTCAATGTCTTGAAAATGAATGTACAAAACGTGGTTTAGGAAAACACATAGTTAAATATTATGGTTTAATTAGTGCCCGAACTGGGTATGGTGTTGAAGAATTGATTTCCAAAGTATTTCGTTATTGGTCGCAACATGGTTTGTCTTTACTATTTTTATTTCTTCTATTTTTACTTTCTAAATAAAAAAAAAACCATAGGTGGTGTTTATCTACTCGGTGGTACAAATGCCGGAAAAAGTAGTTTATTTAATAGTCTTATTAATTCTGATCTTTGTCATATTCATGCACTTGATTGTATTCAACCTGCAACCGTATCAAATCTTCCTGGTAAAATATTTATTTTATGAATTTATTTATTTATTTTTATTGTATTATTTAGGTACAACAATGAATGTTGTTCGTTTTCCGATTCAATTACGAACTGGAAAAAATCAATTTATGCGTGAAGATCGTTTAAAAGAACGAGAAGAAAACGAAACTATACCTGATGATGATAATAATTCAATTGAAAATGAAACAACTATTATCGGTATGTTTCATTGTTACTTTCAATGAATAAAATGTCGATGATGAAGTTTTAGACAATGTTGAGTCAACAGTAAAATGGCGTCGTCGATTTGAATCTGAAATGAATTTACCAAAAAGTGGTGTATCATATACATATTCATCTGGTGAAAATTCTTTTAATGAAGATCGTTCATTTGAATCTAGTGAACATAATTATATTAATTATCGACAAAAGAAAATGCGAACTTTTAATCCTGATTCATATAAAAATGAAAAATGGCTTTTTGATACACCGGGAGTTATTTTACCTGAACAAGTAAACAGAAATTTTTTTGTTATTAAATATTATTTTCTTTTTTTTTGTTTGTTGAAGATGATTAATAAATGTAGTAATCAAACGGAACTTTCATTTTTTGATCATCAATCAACTATTATTCGACCAGTGAATATTTTATTAAATGTTGGACAAACAATATTAATTGGTGGTATTGCAAGAATTGATGTTAAACATGTAAATTTTTGTTCTTTATTCTATCATATATATTGTTACTTTTTTCTCAAGATTACAAATCATGGTCAAGCAACTCTTTCATTAATGACAACATCTCGTTTGCCAATTAATGTGATAGAAACAAAAGATATTGAGAAATTTTATGAAAATACTCTTGAAAAAAATCAACTTGGAGTTAGTAATCATTTTTTGCTATATATTCAAATAGAGATGATCATCATTTCTTATTAGGTACCACAGAATCAAATCAATGGTCATCTTCAAGATCCACCTCGACTAATTGGTCCCACTATTGAAATTCTTGGCATTGGAGAAGAAGAAGCTGCTGGAGATATTGTTCTATCATCAGCAGGTATTATTCATTAATGAGTTTTTTTAATAGATTTTCATGAGACTTAGAGATGCATCTAGAGTTAGATCTTTATGTTAATTTTTCTTCAAAAACGATAGTATTCAACAACTTTATCTTCTAAATATATCGAATTCTTTTAAGTGATTTATTGTATGAATAAATGACATCACGATTTATATTCTGAAGAAAGACAGGCCCTAGTATATCTTTAACTACTACTGATTATCCTTAAAAAACACGAAAAAGTTTAGTTTGCTTTATCAATCTATTTTATCCGTAATTTTCATACAAACAAAACAAATCTTATATTCAAATAACAATTTTAAAACTAGGTTGGGCTAGTGTTCAATGTAGTCGTGATCAATATGTGGTATTTGATGTAATGACACCAGATGGTCTTGGTATTCATCTTCGACAACCACCATTACTTAAATATTTAATTCATTTACGTGGTTCACGAATAGAACAAACACCATTCTTTAATAAACATACTTATAAAGAAGATCAACAAGAAAATGAAGATGATAATGAATATCAGTCAAATGAACTTGAAATGATTATCAATGAGAAATTATGGAAAGGAGAACAAAATAAACATCGACGACATATTGAACATAAAAAATAAACATTGTTATTGTTATTGTTTTTCTAATAACCGGTAACTAAAAATAAAAATCAGTTATATATTTGTTCAATAATTAACATTGTAAAATTAAAACCAAAGAAAAATAGAACGAAAAATTATCAAGATCGAAAGCTACATTGAAAAGCAATAAATAATTATAATACTAGGTATTTTACTAAAGATTTGATAAGTGTTTATTAAAAACCACAAAGCATATCAAGCGAATTCGATGTGTTAGCGATATTGAGAAAATAAAATTCATTTCTTTTATTTCAATCATCGTATTCCCTAGAATTGTTACCCAGGATTTGCTTGATGAGATGTGTGGTAGTTCTGTATCAATTAATTGAATTGATTTGAATCACTGAGTTCTTTTTATATGAACTGAGTCTAGTAACCAACTCTTGTCATATGAGCTAGATGTTATAATAAGCTCTTTTCATATAATATGACTTGCTGAACATTTCATTTAATCGTACTCCTGTATAATTGTTACAATTTCTTCTTAGTTCACATTGCCGTTTAGTTGACATGATCTCAAAATGGAGGTATTACCTGCTTTCCTGGGTATGATAAAATGTACTGTTTAGTAATGTCAGTTCATATGAAGAAAGCTGGTCACCAGATTCCACTCATATGAAAATAAGTTGTATGATTGAAATTCATACAGTTAGTTGACATGATTGACCATACATCTATATATATATATATGATCAATAAATATTTAGTGAATGTTAATCTCTCTTAAATTCTTTTTCGTTCTCTTTTTTTCCTTACTAGTAATACTTCTACTCATGAATTCATAAAATATCTATCTTAATGCCAACGAATAATAAAAATTCTGAAATATATTCCATCTTTTCTGTGAGAATGAGAAAAAGAACTTTTACAGAGTGCTTTCTTTTGAAAAAGTCATATATATTATTGAGCTATCGATCGTTTATGTTTAATGATATTGTTACCCTGCATGTCAGAACAGAGACGAAGGAAAAATACTCATGATATTCTTTTTCATTAATGATCTTAGAGAATATTTTCATTGTTAAATGAGGCAACGAACTAAACACAAATTAACTAATTATGAACAAGTTCACCTTCATAGGATATCAACAAAACCAAACTCCAAATCATAAGATTCTCTCATATATCTACTAGAAAATCAAAATATTCTATAAGAGTTGATAAACGATGAATTCATCTTATTATTAAATAAAAATACAATAATTTATAACTATAATTATATAACAAATAATTGAAAATAAATTATATGGTATTTGATCTACGGCTTTGCTTCTTTTAATTTCGTCAGCTATATCATTTTCTATCGATTTGAGTTCAATTTAAATTGACTTCATGCTGAATTTTAAAACTACATTAAGCGTATCCAATTTACTTTATGGACAAACAAAGTTAAAAGGCAATTTAAAATAGTCCACCCAGTTGAACTGCTTTTACTAGAGACATCAGACGACAATTTTACTCGACCTACTATCTTCCTACATGTAAAGTGTCATTAGGTATATTTGAAATCATAATTATCTTCCTTAGATGTAATCAAAGTTGCTAGTTCATTCAAATAGCATTAACAATGATGCAGTAAATATAACATTTGTTGGTATGCATGTGAATGTTACTAAAAATTTCTTTATTTTCTCATGGTACCTAGCAAAAGCGAGCTTCAAATTTTCTATTTCTTTCTTGTAGTATTAGCAACGATGCTGTTACTCCTATGTTAATAATGAATTAGCTTGCTCAATCGCCAGATGATATGCACCCACATACAAAGAATGTTGAATTTCTTATGTCGCGTTTTTTATCAAGAAGTTTTATCTTGTCCACATAATTGGAAACTGATCAACATGATCATGAATACTTCTGTAAAACAATTCAATATTAATGATTTTTTGAAATATAAATTTAAAACTACAAACAACTTACTTATAAGTTCTTTTGCATCCGAGAGAATTCCTCTGACAAATATTAGAGCTTTTGTTCGAAATATCAATAGATCATGGAAATTTTCAAACTCATTATCCTAGACACAGTTAATCGTAATATCTGTCCTATTTGAGATTAACAATGAAAAGGCTGCACGAATGATATCATTTTCTTATGTGTGGTCTCCACTCACAAATAAATGTCAAACAGTAATAGTAATAGTTAGGATACCTGAAACGTCAGACGATATGAAATTAATATTGAGATCATCTTTTAAAATTTCGAAAATGTGATATCAGAACAATACAAGTAGTTGTATTGCAAGCAAACTCGATTTGTCGAAAAGGATATATATATATAATGAACTATAGAGCACATTAATATTTCGCCATTAGCCATGTGAAGTATAGAAGAACCAATACTTAACTGATTTTGTACCTAGTTCTATGTCAATTTATTATAACTGAAGCATTCATTTTAACATTAACGTCGATTTCATATTACTATAATCTATCGAAATTCATCGGCTAAGTGATTTTATTCCGTTTGATGTTTTTCTCAACCTCACTATAGGAGGATATGGATAAAACAAAAATCCAAAACAATCTGACCTATGAATTCTCAAATCTGTTCAACAGGTGGTCGTTGAGTTTCTGTTACCTTGTTGGGTGTGGATGTGATTGTTTAAATAGATCAATAAAAGATCCATACCCTCATATCGCCTTTATATTTCCTGACCCTCTATGGATTCGTTCAGCTAAAGAATATTCTCTTTTTCTTTATTTTGTGAGAACTAAATGATTTATATGACGTTATCAGTTATTTCAAAGAATCATTAAGATTAAATAACATTTCTAGTTGCGCTATCTATCTCTAACAATATCAGTAGTATAACTTATCATCATACAGTCCACTACGTGTCGACGTTCATTCCTTTGATTTCCTTCTTGATCTATTGTCATAATAGCGTTGTTATCAGTATGGAAGCACTGTTTTTACCTTTACGTTTATTGCTTTTTATCAGTGTGCTGCAAATAAGAACTTCTCAATATTGGCAGTTGAAAGCTGATGCTTGAAAAGAAATGTTCATAAAAGAAGGTTATAAATTAAAATGATCATCCTTTAGTCAACAAGTAATCAGAATCAAATTAAATATATATTTGAGAAAATCGAAATGTTTGATCTGAACTAATCAGTATTATTTTTATACGTAACAGGAAACCCTTATTGAACTAAAAAACGAACTCGAACGTATTCTATTTTTCTAAAATAGATACTTATTCCATGGGAACGGATTAAACAATTTGAAGAATGACCAAAAATACTTTATTTTTCTTTCTAAGACTGACGTTGGATTGTCTGGAATGCTTTGATCAGTTCGATGAACTCATCCTTTAGGTATGTTTCTAGAAAACGCCAGGAAAAGTAATGCCATTGGGGTGGAATCCTATATTGACGGTTGCAAAAATGAATCAACTGAGAACTACCTCAATAATGTATGGAACGATGCAGAATATGTTCAATTCAGGTGAAGAACAATTTTAAACTGAAAAGAAAGTATATTCGATAATAATATGAAGCTTCGAAGAATGTGTTGCTTTTGAATTTCTTTTTTTTTCTCATGCAAATTCTTAAGTGAGTATAGCCATCTATATAGTACTATTCTTTTTTTCTTGTTGTTTTTTACTTTCTACACTCTGTTCTTATTGCTGGCAGTTTTTTTAACCAATTATTTTTGTTTTTGTTCTGTCTTACATCTAGTCAAAATTTCTATTAATGAATCATTATATGTGACTTGTTCGAATAGGTAATTATAATCTCTGATCAAGACTTGATTTTATAGTCTTCTTTATCTTAATATATGTCATATCCGATTTCCCATTGAATTATGAAATGGGAAATATAAATTCAATAAAATAATTTGGATAAAATGACACTTGATGATCTTGCTCTTCATTTTCGATAGGCATTTTTATTCATAATATCATTCATATAATCAACAAATCGAAGAAACATTATTTGAATGATTTCAAAGCGATTACTAATGACGAAATTTGGGAAGCAGATAATACATAAACATCAAACATGAGCAAAACACACATAAACATATTTCATCGTTTCTTTTCTGTTTTCAGGTAAATAAATAAGAAAAAAAAATGAGTAATTCATTTGCTGAACAATTATCAAATGTGAAACTAAAGCCAAGCAAAGACAAAACAAAAGATTTTAGTGATCCAAAACTCGCAGGTGAATTTTGTATTGATGTTTTGCTACTTTATATGATTAAAGGTTATAACTTTTTGTAATATATAGAATTTTGATTAAAGCTTTATTTTTGAAAATTCCACAAATATTCTTTCTAGTGTTAAGTTAACCATCGTCTGAAAAACATTTGAAATACTTTTATTATTTATTGAATTTGCATTTAATCACATATGAATAACATGATTTTACTGCACTAATATTTATGCTAATCAAATTAAAACTTTATTCAGGTTTCATCACTAAAGATCAAATAAGTACATATCAAAAAACTGCTTTAGAAACTAATATGGAAGAATGGCAAATGTTACTTGTTAATGGTATTAACAAATAAAAAAATAAAATTTCATTCAATATATTTTATCATCAATAATATTTAGAAACATTTCCTACTGTTTATTGTCCAATAACATATTCCGATGCTCAACATTTCATACGAATATTTGAACGACATTTTCAAAAATTACATGAACATCAACTATTTGATCAAATACGAGAACGAATGGATATTTGGTTTAATGATGATCTAGAAGAAAAACAATGGTATGAACAAATAAAAGAACGTCTTCAAAAAACGATTGATCAAGCATATCCGAATACGAAAGAATTCTTTGCTAAAACATCATCACGTAGTGCAAAAGATGCTTGTGTATTTAAACGAGACTTTCTTGAAGTATATAAAAATGAATTATCTAAATTTCCAGATCCATCACAAGAAAATTCTCGTATTATAGCACTTCTTACAGCTGCTTTTTTATCCTTATGTGTTACATCTGCTACTGAAGTTCTTTCAATGTTTA